ATATACTTACTTACTTCCCAAGTTTACACTGGGAGTGGGCACTAACGCATACCATGTGGAATTTTTGCTGTTTAGGTAGTTTTTTAGTTAGTTTTTTTTTTTAATATAATTTAATTTTTATTATTCTAATATTTAAGTATTTATTTATGTAAAACAATTTTTCAATAATAAAAGGGTCAAATTAATAACTAGTACTATTTGAACTTACCAGGCACACATAGTTGGCAAGTTTTTTGAACATAAAGAATATGGGACATTTTTGAGGTACATAAGAGATAAATAAATAAAAAACACTGAAAATAAAATGGCATGTATGTATATTTATATAATTATGTATATATAGAGTGCATTTTACAATCATAATACATACAATGTGATCATCTAATAAAATATAACAGATAATTTTGATGTTAAAAAGATATACATATTTTTAATACTTAGGCAAAATAATATAAATTAGATAGTAAAACAATTTTTGCCATATACAAAATAATCACGAAGGCATAAACCCAATAAATAATTTACTTATCATTATAATTGAGAATCGATAGGCAGATCAATTATTTTTTATTTTATTTGAATAATGTAAATACTGGATGCAGCTCTACTCAAAAGTGGATGTTAATAGTTAAGAGGCCTAATGAGAAGAGACTTAATTTAATCCTAAATCTAATTAATTTTATTTACAAATTTTTATCCAATATATACATTATTGACATATCGGTTTTTGTTTAATTAAATGTAAAATAATGATATGACCAATATGGAATTGCAAAAGAACTAAATAAGACCAATGTTCGACAGCAGAAAATGTCATTGGATTATTATTATCACTATGGTTTGCAATTAAAAGTACATCAGATTACAATACCGTAAAACTACAATTCTAGACACAAATCATTTAACGTTCTGGCGCTTTTAGCCAAAAATTTTTACACAACAGAGAGCATAATAACGACCATTTCAAAAAATCCTCAAAACAACTACAATTTTCGAATTCATAAGACCTGGGCTCCATATAACTTTTCAAAAAACTTCATAGTTGCTTTTTGGATATTTCCATCAAATGACAATTAAGTTTATGGGCAAGATTCATTTTTTATGGCAAATTTTTAGTTCAATGCAAAGGGTTAAAGCAAACGGTACTTTTTATTGTTGCATACCTCAACAAACTAATTTACAAAATTGAATTAAACCCATCTATGTTTTAATTATTCTTAGCTCACACCTAACTAACTCTTAAAGCTTACAAATTCTGCATGTTTGCTATTTTTATTACATTTTAATTCAATCAACATATACATAAATGGTTGTTTACAACCGCTTAAACGTTGAATAAAAATAAGTGCATTCTTTATAATAGGAACGTCTTATTTTTATTTGTAGAGAAAATACTGTTGCTGAAAATGATTTAAGGGGACACCCAACCATTATTTTTTACCATTTTAATATTGTTTTCAAAGTTTTGTTAAAAATAATTTAATATATTCTATGTTGTTTAAATTATTTAACAAAATCTTTTATTTGTTTTGAATCAAGTTCATTAAACAATATTTAAAAAGTATAGTAATAATTTTTCAATAATTCGGCTATTATAGGCATTTCAATGTGGAATATCCCCTTAGCAATTATAAGACATATAATATTATTTAAGTACAGTTTTTTGTTTTTAAAATTACTTTTAAGATTGTTAAATGAAATCACAACCATATACATAATAAAAATACATTGCATGGTGATCCTTGATTAAATTGAACCTAAAGTCTTTGCACCTCAATTTTGTTTACAATATTTGTTATAAAATTTTGCAGCTTCTCTAAAAAAATCCTATGCTAAGAACTTTTTTCTATTGAGGTTAATACACTAATATACTACTAGAATACAATTTTGTGCATTAATTTTTAAAAAAATAAAATGTGTGTTGAATAATATAGTATAAAACTATACAAGACTTAATGCGCGCGCATTATCACTCGTATTATAATATACTATTATACCACACCTACTTAAATTTTAGAAATCTCTATGGAAACAATTTTTTTTGGAAAGTAGCAACAAAATGTTATAAAAAAAATTGAGGTGCAGACTTTTTTTTTGTTTGAATTAATCGAGGACCGCCGTTATAGGAAACATTATCTACCTAATAAAAATAATCTAATTTTACACACATAAAACATTGCGGACCAAATATTGTACCAAAAACAGGTGTATTTATTATGTAATAAATACCCCTAGGATTGTTTTTAATACATAACATTCAGAGAGTAAAAATTTTGAGATTTACTTAAAAATACCTAATTCGTGTTTATTTTAAAAATATACTCTGGTTAATTTTATTTACAATTTACAAAAAAGAATTTTATTGGATGGCTTAGTTTTTTAATCAAATAATGTTAAATTTTTTACCCAAAATTTTTACTCGACACTAAATAATTTACAATTATTTTGTTCACTGTATTTTTTTAAATGCGTCATTTTTGCTAGGTACATATATGGTTCCCATTACACTTTCCATTAATATGTATAATAAATTATAAGTACCTAAGTTTGAGTTCCTGTTTTCTTCGACACTGATTTGCACTAAAAACGCCAGAAGCATCCCTATTCAGGGTATTAATACTTTATATATAACACAATAAAAACTAATATCAGTCTTCACAGTTTTACAAATACGATGTTATTTTTAATGTTCAACACTGTATAATCTACGAAATAATCAACTGACCAAAAATATAACATTTACACGATTTTTTTCTCAATATTTTAGTCCGCTTGAATTGGTCACTATGCTTTTACGCATAATATATTATTATCTTCTACACCAACATATAAAAAGAACTGTACACCACCAATTCGTTAAAAAAAATTAGCATTAAAATAATATATTGTCCAACTTGCAGGCATTGGAATATTAATAAGTTCAAACTAAAAATAATAAGCGTCCTTTTTATTTAATTGCATATTGCTACTTGAATTTTACACTAACAATAAGAATACATAGTAAAAAAATTAAGAAAATTTACTTAATATGATTGTTAAATGAAAAAGACTTATTGTCCATTACATTAATAAAAATAAGCTTGTTTTAGAGTTAATTTATAGATACATCTATGGTTTTAAATAAACTTTTTAGGTTAATAGTAACAAACTGAAATAATTAATAATCTATATTATTAAATAATTACCCTTTTTACCTGGAGGTACAAAGTTTGTACTATAAAAATTTACAACGTACTAAAGTTTAACAATCATATTAGGCAGAAAGTAATTCAGTAAATAAGTATGAAAACAAGGCCAAAAACAAAAATATATAGTATTAATGCAAATTTATATTGTTTAACTTATAAGCCAAAAAATGTAAAAATTATTTGCTTAGTCGATTTATATTTAGCATTTTAATAAAAAATACTATATTTTGTAATGTTTTACTAATTATTGTTTATTTTTTAACAATTTAAATAGTGAAAAGTGCAAGATTTAAAAAATTTATTAAATATTGCTAAATTATATATAAATATTAGGGTGATTTGTTTTGAAGGAACATTTATTTTTTCTCAGTCTCAAAGCAAAATATTGATTAACGTATTGTGAAAAAAATGCCCTTGATTTTACTTCCACGTACTTTTATTTCGATTTTAAAGTTTTCCCATTAAAATTAAAAGGAAATCAAGGATTTTTTTTCAATTTTCTATAGCTGGCGGTATTTTAAGCTACTACAATTTACATAGGTGGATTTGTACATAATTGCATAACAATTTTTATATCACCTACATTTTCGACATGTATAAAAATAATAATTTCCTATAAAAAGATTTTATACATTAATCTAATAATTAATGCATAGTTTAAAAGATATAGACCATTTAAGAAATTTAACTGTCAAATTTCGATAAAATAAATTACTTGTTGACCGTAAAATTTATGAAATGCTCTATATCTTCTAAACTATACATTTTATTGCAATAATGCATAAAACTATTTTTGTAAAATTTCACAAGTATTTTTTCTTTTTACCGGTACCTTTAATCGTTGTGCCCTAAAACAACATAGGACTAATTAGTTTATCAATATTTTTAAACTATGCATTAAACCATATAACTTTTTTTGTAGGAAATTGAATTTTTTATAAAAGTTTTCTTTACTTTTTACCTATAACTTTAACCGTTTTGCCGTAAAACAATTAATTAATTTATCAATATTTGACAATACAATTTATTAAATTATTTATATATTTTAAACCATGCACTTTATTGAATTAATCAATAGGACTTTTTTTAAGAAACCGAATTTTCTTTTTTTACTTTTTACCTGTAACTTTAGCCGTTTTGCCGTAAAATAATATAGGACTAATTAGTTTATCAATATTTGACAATAAAATTTATTAAATGCTTTATGTCTTAAACTATGCATTTTATTGAATTATTGCATACCTAGAACCTTTTTTATAGAAAATTAAATTGACTATAAAGTTCTTATCAACTTTAACCGCTTTTTTATTAAAAATATGACTTAAGTCACATATACAGGTCTAAATATATTAATTGTATTAAAATTATTGCAAGTACTTTAAAAGTGCATCCAATCCTGTACAAATTGCACCTATTGGAAATTGAAAAAAATCCTTAATTTACTGTTATTTCAATCAAAAAACTTTAAAATCATAATAAAAGGACTTAGGAGTAAGATTAAACTTTATTGAAATTTTTTCCTTGATATGTACATCAATATTTTGCTTGGGGAGTGACAAGAAACCACCCTAATATAAATATATATATTTTATTTATATTTAGAATTTTTTATTAGGTTGTATGATTTCTTCATTTTTTTAAGTAAATTTAATTGTTTCCATAAAAAAATACTTAAATGACTTAATAAGTCACAGATTAGTTTTTTTGTTTTCGTATTTATTAGGTAAATTACCTAAATTATAGGTGAATATTTTGTTAATTTAATATTTAAAAGAGCTTAAAAATACTTAATAAAAAATATAATATCTGAATGGCATTTCAGGAGTAGTAAATTAATATTCCAATGGCTCAAATAAAAAATAATTTATCTTAATAATAATAGTTACCATTATGTATATATAAAATTAGGATATTTTAGGTCGTCAAGACAGTTCAACATACAAGGGGAACACGAAAAAGTTTTTTGTATTTTTATCGAATAAGGGGGAGGAATCGCTTCAGCGTGGACATATTACTTTTTCTAACCTTAAAAACTTCATCGCATTGTGTAAAGTAGTAGGGAGAGCGCGCACATAACTATTAAGTTGGCGGCACTGGTTAGCGGGGTGGTCGCACTGCCCCCCAGGGTGAGTTCCTCACTTTTGACCACCTCGTTGGGGTGTTTATTGTACGTTTTGGATTTTTTGGTCGTCGTCGTCGGCGGTTCGGTGCTCGTCGTTGTCGTGGTGGTCGTCGTCGTTGTTCGCTGCTGCGACGTCACCGGCCACCACGACGGCAGCTTCGTCACTTGGGGCGGTTGCGAGGTGGCGGGCATCGATGGCGGGCCCCACACCTTGAACACGATCTTCATGTTGTTGCTTGAACATCGACCTAAAAGGATAATAGCGAATCAGACATTTTAATTGCCTTTAATTGTATTTAATATTTAAAATAAGAAAGAAATTATACAGACTGTATAGAATCAAGTAAGTAAGGCTGGAGACAAGGATGACAAATTATATTCTGATCAGAGAAAAAGAAACAAACTTTAATTGGCCGTGGTTTAAACCAAGCCATTCGTAATTACGAACCATGGTTGCCAGGTTGTTTTAAATCAGAAGAGAACGATTATAATTATTTAATAAAATAGTTCAATTTTATTTGTTTGAAACTTTAAAAATAACAAAAAAATTAATATGCAAAAATAATTTGATTTAGTTAATTTTCTTACTTTTAATATTAAAAAATAAGAAAAACAACCCTTTTAGGAAACAATATTAGCATATGGCAACAGCGCGGCATGCAGCCAGATACGCTGTCGTAGGGAAATGTGTATAGTTTTTAAGAAATACATTTTCGCCATTAACTGGAATTTAATGGATTTTAAACAATACTTAGTTTTTATTTGCAGAAATGCATTAAAACAAAACAAACGAATTCGATAAAAACAAAACCTATAAAGGCCGATTCTCACATAGCGACGCGACGCTACGCGACGCGATGCTTCAAAATCGCGCCCTATTGTCGCTCCAGGAAGCGACAAAATTTTGTCGCGTCGCTATGTGGGAATTGTCTCATTTAAATGCATGGAAATCTTTCATCAGCTACATTTTGTGTCGCGTCGCGTAGCGTATCGCGTAGCGTATCGTAGCGTCGCGTCGCTATGTGAGAATCGGCCTTAAATTCTCAAACAGAAATAATTTTAAAATAACGAAAATAACTTTTTTTCTAAATTAAATCCCTACCACAGTGGGCGGGGTTTGGTACTTGTTTTATTTAAGTGTATCTATTCGTTTTAATACACACTGTATATACAGGGTGTCCCATAATTAACTTGAAATAATTTAACAGCAGAATATACCTACGTACAAAAATAGGAAAAAAAATCTGAAATGGTTTTTAATTAATATCTCCAAAACCGTTTAAGATAGAAACGTGAAATTTTGGAAATTGATCAAACTTTTTATGGTTAATAATATTAATATTAATAACAATTTCAAATTTTCCCTGAGGGGTGGGTCAAATAGATAAGGAGTACGTGTTTTGTTCCAGGTAGAGATGCGACTTGAAAAAAAACGGTCCTTTTTTTGTTTTTTTTCTTCATATTTTAGGTTTTTTAAAGATTAGTCCCATTTGCCCAAGTTTTTATGTTTCAAGTCCAGTTCGTGGACTAAAATTAGCCACTAAATGACATTTAAAGTGTATTCAAATCCAAGCTGGACTAAACAAAAACGCCCAGACGTATGATAACTCGTTCTTATTGGTCGATTCTGATGGTGTGACTCGGATTGTGAGTTCTTATTGGTCGATTCGGAGGATTGTGTTTACATTTAGTCCAGCTTGGATTTGAATAGACTTTAGTAAATACAGTCTCGCGCTTTGCACGCTCCACCACCACCGAATTGACCAATAAGGGCCGCGCTTGTTTTGATTTGGTCCTAAAAAAAGTAACTACCTATATATTTTTGATTCAGCACTTGATTTTTCAAAAAGCTACCCATAGCACTTTTTTTCATGATTTTTTAAATTCATGTAGAGTATGGAATTTTTTTTTACAAAAAAACAATAGGAAATTCTTATAGAACATTTATTCATTGGTGGTTAAGTAAGAACATTCCGTGGACCAAAAAAGACAGCCAAAAAAATTTCGATTTTTTTTATTACGGTATTCGTTAGGATTGAGCGTTGCACGTTTTTCATCTAAAAATCTCAAAACTAGAAACTTCAAGCTCCAAATAATAATCAGTTTTTTTAGTCTCGGTCAAAATTTTTAATAATGAAAAATGTAATATATTCTACATTTCACTTTATTATTAATATACATTTTACTCAAAATTTCATTTTGAAAAATTACTCCATTTTTTAAGATTGATGTTATTTATTGACAGAATATGCTTTATTGCAGCGGATTTGAAAAAAACAAAAAAACCCGGTTTTTTTTTCTAGTTTTTTTTCACATCTGAAAAAAAAACCGTTTTTTTACATCTCTAGTTCCAGGATTATTTTATTTTGGAGGTTTACACACAAAAAAGGTCCTCTTGTTGAACTTCGATAATATTTACCATTTTCGCCTAAAATCGATTTGAAAATTACCTTGCATGGCATAAAAATTCGTAATGAAATCATAACTAGAAAAAAAGATTCGGCTGGGGTCATGGAACACGGCTGCCATGTTTAGGAAAAATTATATATTATATAAGACATGTGACGTTTTATGCAATTTGATCAATTCTCAAAATTTCATTTTTCTATCTTGAACGGTTTTGGAGATATTAAATAAAAACCATCATCAGGGGCTCCTCTTTCAAGGGGTGTATTTCCCTTAGGAAGCATATCTCGACCTATGTTTATGGGAACATTTTTTTTCTTTTTTTGTACGTGGAATCTGCTGTTAAAGTATTGCACGCTAATTATGGGACACCCTGAATATTGATATTTATGTTCTTATCAAGTTGGCATTTTTTATTTTTAAATATTTGAAATTTATTAATGTTTCCCAAATATATTTCCCATATATTTTTAACCCTCTAAACACAAATATTTAAAAATATTACAAAATATGTCAAATATAAAAGTTTATCTCTGGGCTGAAGTTTTAATTAAAAAATAACTATATGTCAAAACTATTTTTAATATTATTTTAAGAAGAAAAATGCACAATAATAACTACAAAAATTTATTATGTCAAGTTATCCATGAAAAAAACATTGAAATCAAATTAAACTTATAGTAATAGTAGCATGTTCTTTATATTTTAAAACAAATCCGGTTAATATCGCACAATAAATAAAGATTTTACAGGGGTGAGTCGCAAACAAATGGGCCACACTGTATATTTAATATATATTTTTTAAAAATTATATTATTATATTAGGTCACACTCTAGGGGGAAGGGGGGTCGGACAATTTGTGACCAAGTGTGATGAGGAGGGGGGAATCATTAACTACGTGATGTCACGTTAAATTAAAACAAATATTCATTCAAATTTTCAGAAAAAATTTGAATTCTTACTTACTAGGGAAAGTGGGGGTCGGAAAAGGTCGAAAATCGGGTGACGTAATATCATTGTTTTTAGAGGCTCTAAAAGAATGCTAATATGCATATTCACATGTGATTGATCCTTAAAATTTTTATTATTATGTGGGGCATTCCACTTTAAGTTGACCAATTTTGAACCCTACCCCTTTTGATTTGGCTGAAATTTTTATATGTTATACTACCTTACTAAAATCTTTTCCGTGAACTTATCGAGATGATATTTTTCAATTTTCAGTTTTATAAAGAACGAAAAAAATGTAGGCAAAAATATGTAACGTAATTAAATCATAATTTTATAACTTAACATGATTATTAATCATGATTAAAATGCAAACTATCGAAAACTGGAAGTAATGCAATATTTTGGATGACAAATTCGGATGGAGTGGGTCAAAAACCTTGCAACATTAATTTTGTACATCTGCGTTGCTTTTTATTTTAAATTATGGTCATTTTGAGAAATATTAACATAATTTGGCTGTAAAAAATAAATAAATATTAATTTAATAAAGCCTAATAAATTATGGTGTTATTTTGTATTTACAAAATCTAAACTGGTTTTAACAGGAATGTTTCCATAATTGTATTAAAAAAATTGTTTTTGAATCTCAAATGTTTATTGTTCCCAACAAGTTTTCAAAAACGTGTGCTTTTTAGGCTGATTTTAAGTAATCCAGGAGCTTCATGACACAATTAATTATATTTTTAAATAAAATTTAAACGAATGAAACCTTGGGATTAGTTAATCTAGGATTTAAATTTTTAAAAAGCTTTTTGTACGTCCAATAAAGATATTAAGTTAATTTTTAACATTTAATATAGGTACTCGCATTTTATTACTAGACATTGCTCATAATCTACAAACATATTTTCTTAAAAAAACTGCATAATAAATTTTATTTAAATTAGGTATTCGTAGTTCTTTTCGAATTCATAAAATATTAAGCAATTGCTCCATTTTGAGAACGGTTTTAACTTTTTATTGGTCCTATAAACCGTGACTAGGTCAAAATATAATAATATTGTTACTTTTACAGTTAAGCCAAATATTTGACTTGAAGATGGTCACTTTTATACACTTTAGGTAAAACATTTTTATAATAAAACGGCAGATTTTATGAGTATTACTTTTTCTATGAACCATATTTGCGAAATGTTGTACAACAAAAGTAATAAAGTTTATAACAGTATCGGCCAATAAAAAGTTTAATGCTGCCCAAATGTAGTCGGCAGGTAATTTCCATAATAAAGTTAATATAAAGTGATAATTTTCAGAATTTATAATATATTTAACTGTTATAACATGTATTTATTACCTAATTAACAAAATTAACCGCCATCACTAAATTTAATAACGATCTAATCCTAATTTAATTTTCTATGAATAGTTGAAATTTTAACATAAGAATGAAACAACTATTAAAGAATTCCTAATTAACGGCCTAAATAATGTATAACCACAAAACGTATACAGATGCAATCTAAAGACTAAATCCTGATTAACTACCTGATCATATATTACCCGTTATCGCCGGACGAATCAGTTTTTTGTGGAATGGAAGATTTCATTTAAATATGTATTTCAAATTAATATGAAATAATGAAGAATAATGCATATTTTAACGTAATGCGTTTTGTCATTTTTATCTGCCTACGGTCAACAGATACGATCTTGTTAAATCGTTCAACAATTTTAGAAAGTTTTATTCTAATTATGGTCACAACAATTTTGGTCTAACGTTTAATATTTCCGGCTTTGCAAAGGGGTGACTCGACCGGAAGTTAATTCATACCTATTTGCCCAGATTTTGTGATAATTGTCGTTAATAGTTTAAATATTCGTTACATAGCTTTTAATAGTTTCTTTTAATGCCCCTTATTAGTTAAAAAAAAATAGAAAACCATGTTTTTTATGAAACTTGTTTTTCTTACGATGTTTAGGTATTATATAATTTTAAGTTTAAATATTTTTATTAGTAATTTAGAGTTTTTTTTAAAACTTGGCAATGCTGTAATATTCGACATTTAATAACAGTTGTTATAGAAAAGTCATCTGAGGCCAACATGTATGTAAAAAAAGTCTGGCATTTTATCTCGCTACCGTGCTTTTGATTCAAGTGTACTCCTCCACAAACAGGTACCTACAGGCAGCGTGTTTACGTTTTTGGACCTCATCAGTGCTGGGCAGCCACGTGGTGTAGAAGCACTTGCAACACACTGCCTCCGCCGCTATAAAGCAGCGGGATACAGCGAAAGCGGTAAACGAAAGGTAATCAGAGCCATCTACCGTCCAATAAACGCGACAGTGTGTTGCAGAACTCTGCAGACACATATTGGGAGTAAAAAATAATGCTCCTCTACGGCTTAAAAGACGTGGTTACTAAACAAACACCAAGGGAAGTTTAGCAGAGTCTAAATAAATAAATATGCAATAAGAAGTCTCAAGAATGGCAAAGCAGGGAGGAAGAAAATGTATTCGCATGTGAGAATTGTAGACCAATTACACTTTTAAGTCTTGAAAGAATATAATAGATACAATGAGAAAACTGTTAGATGAGAATTTATAAGAAAACCAAGCTTAAATATATCGTGCATCGACTAAGACTTATTTTACAAAAAGTAGCCAAAAAACTAAGAAAACCATATAAGTTTTATCTATTTCGAGAAGGAATTTGATCTAGTTAAACGGGAAAATATCAGGGATATTTTTAGGTTCTATGGCGTACCCAAAAAAGTTGCTTTATGAAGAGTAAATAGTAAAAATACAACATGCAGGAAAACCTTTCTAAAGAATTTAAACTAGAAAAGGAAGTTCGTCAAGGCTGTAGGATGTGACCATCAGTCTACAAAATAATTATGTTTTGTGTTATGGGAAAAAGTCTTTAAAAAGTTAGAAAAAAAATCATTTACTAGAAAAAACAAGGGTAGAAAAAATGACAGATAGTGAGCATCAAAATTAATACAAAAAAGAAAAAAACAGCTAACAAATAACGAAGCGAATAATTATAATAATAATAATTGGCAATTAAGAAATAGAATTAAATCAGTTATGTTACTTGGGAAACATTATAAGTTTGAAAGGCGGAACAGAATGGAAAAGGGTATAGGACTTCTATTCAACCATATTTTTGCCTTAAGCTACAGAAACATCCTAACATATGCTTCTTGCTTATGAAGAAGAAAGGAGCAAGATTTTTTACTTCCATACCCGCATGATGACTAATCTAGTTTTCCAGACATATATATATAGTTTCATTTATGGATTGGGCTATGGAAAAACTAGATCAGAGAATCTTATCGAAAGTCTTTAAAAAGTTAGAACTTGGAAGATCTGGAATTCGAGAATATCGGCCTCCTGGCGATGAAACAAAATCATTTACAAGAAAAAACAAGGGTAGAAAAAATGCACGGATAGTAGGTCTAACAATTAACACAAAAAAGAAAAAACTGCTAACAAATAACTAAACCGAAGATAGTAATAACTGGCAAATAAGAAATAGAAGAAGTAAATGAGTTTTGTTACTTGGGAAGTATTATAAGTTAAGGTTATAAGGTGGAACAGAACGGAAAAGGGTATAGCAAGAGGACTTCTATTCAACAATCGTTTTGCCTTAAGCTCCAGAAACACCTTAACATGTGCTATTTGCTTAGTTAGAAAAAAGAAAGGAGCAAGATTTTTTACTCCCATATCCCCATAGTCACGGTGACTAATCTACTACCTAATATTTATAGATTCATTTCTTCTTCTTCTACTGTTTAATGGCCTTTCCCTTCCGGGATTTAGCCAGCTGAATCTTCTTCTTTTCGGAGGTACTGGAGCAAGCGAGTCTAGGATAACCTATAGCTTCTCCTTTTCTTCTTCTTGATTTTATATTATTTTTTTTAATTATATGACTTAATCTTCTTTCTAGTCCAATTCAATATCAAACTTATTTGTTTGATCATTTCAGTTCATTCTTAATACGTCTTCTCAATACACTTAAACATTTGACCATAAACAAAATCGGAAACCGCGCAGCGGATGTCACTTTTAATACACTTTTAATATTCTAAACACAAACTCGATCACGATATAGGCAGCAAAAGTCAAAAAACAAAAAAAAAACAGAAAAAAACCGACCATGTTCTTCATGGCTGTTTGCTCGTATAACATCAATCTTGAAAAACTTCGACCATCTCTTGTGGAAATCTTTTGGAACTTCCCCAATCTAATGTAGATTATGCAGTATCGGCGGACAATACAGAACTGATAGATTTATTTTTGGAGTTTTAACTTTTTTATGAATTTTAATATAATTTTTTACACATCTAGGATGATTTTCCATGTTTTTGAGGTTAATCTATATTTATAGTTTTCCAGAAATGTATATTGTTTTATTTAAAATGTATTACATTATCTTCTGGAGAGAAGCTTACCTACTTGGTACACACTTGAGAAGAAATTTTTAAAAAATTCATAAACAATTCTTACCTCCTATTCTTCGATGCAGATCATCGCTCGTAGAGGTTGATATAAAGTAGTAATCGTGCCCTGGCAAAAACTCCAGCCCGCCCGGCTGCGGAGTGAACGGTCTGAACGTTATCGTGAAATACATGAGTTTGTAGGGTTTGTCGCAGACGGCGATGATCCGCGGATTCGGATTCGTTATCCGACAGGTCTCGTACTCGTCCTTGGACACGTTGTAGATGATGTACTTCTCCATCTCCTCGTCCCTGGTGCCAGGCATGTACACTGGGCAGATCAGGTTCACCTAAAATTTGGATTTGGATTTTTCGAGTGTTTCAGCTTCATATTTACGCCAATATTTACAGAAATTACTTTACCAAGGCAGAGCTGTCAGAAAAAAGTATCTTAGTTACTTTAGAGTAACTTAGTTACTTTAAAGTATCTAAGTTACTGTATCTTAGTTCCTTTATTTTTTAACAAAAAATATCTAGTATCTTAGATACTTTTTGAAAGGAACTGTATCTTGTAACTTAAAAAAAGTATCTTAGATACAGAAAAGTATCTTAGATACCAAAAAGTAACTTAGATACCAAAAAGTAACTTAGATACCAAAAAGTAACTTAGATACCAAAAAGTATCCAAGATACCACAAGAAAAGTTCCTTTAGTCAAGTTGTTCGAAACGGCCGCGGCCATCGAAGTTATTATAATAAGTATACTGGCGACTTCAGCGACTGGCGCCAATCGACTGGCGGCGATTTTTGTTATACCTACTTAATTTTTATTCACCTATACTTCTTTTATAATCTGTGACTTCGCCACCCGCTCTGTAAAAGGGTGTTTCCGTTCGTTGCGACTTGAATTTATAGTGGTAAGTCTGAAATAAGTTAGGTTAGGTAAGTACTTGCACTTGCTTCTTTATGATGTACTGATGTAGGATATTGGTTGTTACATTGTACCGTACATTCTATAATGTTCAATGTATGTTTTCCATTTTAAATTTAAAAAAAATGTTAAAATAGATTAAATGAAAAGTGTAAGATAATTTTTTTATTTTTATAATTAAGTGGTGTTTAATTAACGATTTTATCTCTTTTTATTTTTAAGATATTTTAAAAGTGCCTAATTTAGACACTTTTTGCATTAGACCCTTCAATGGTTTTAATTGTTAAAAAAGTAAGCTTAAAATTATTTGAAAAATCAGGGTGGGGTTGGAACGAATTTTTGTTGGGCGGTTTATACGAAACTTATTACATAATATACAAAGTAACTAAAAAAGTATCTTATTAAGTAAGTATCTTAAAAAGTAACTTAAGTATTTAAGTTCCTTTTTTTAAAGAGTAACTAGATACCCAAAGTAACTTCGGATACTTTTTCAAAAAGTAACTTATCTTGTATCTAGATACTTTTTAAAAGTATCTTTGACAGCTCTGTACAGAAATTACTTTACCAAGGGCCAGTTAGTTTCATTGATCAAGTCATAAACTAACTGGAACTTAACCATATCATTCATTCTTTCATTATTATTATTATCATTATTACCTGGTCATATTCGAACTTGACGTTATTTCTATTGACATCGATGATGTTGTCGGTGTTGTCTATGCGAAATATGGGGTTCGACGAGTTCCAATGGATGGTGTAGAACTTTGCGCTCGAGGGTATCGACGCCAGGACGAAATAGTGGAAGCTAAATGTCAGCAGAATCAGGCCTTTAAGAAGAACACAGCTTGATTGCCAGCCCATCATTTTTCTTCGTTTCTCTTCTTGATCGGCTTGCTTTCTTTACATGACTTTTACCCTTTCCATCAACCTGAAATACAAGAAAAGTCAATATTAGTGCCAAATTTGCAAAGATTTAATCATAAAATGAATTAACAAGGTTTTAACAAATTTCTATAATTCTGAGATATCACGGAAAAAAATAAAATTGGATTTAAACAATGGCCTGATCAGTTTGCTCTATTATTTTAACATTTATATCTAGTCTTTTTATTGGGTGTATGGGAAAAATATAAACAAAATTAATTATTACAACAAAATTAAAAAAAGATTGATTAACTTTTAATTTTAAAAATAAATTAATGGTAATGTAATTAATAATAAAACTACTTTTTCAAATGTAAAATTTCGTGCTGATTCCGAAAAACATGGTGATTTTTTTGGTTTAGCTCTGTTACAGAAAAATACATCACGAATAGGCAGCTAAAATTTCTATTGATGTTAAATCAATTCCAAATCTTTATAGTTATAATAAAGGGAAGGCAATAAAAATTTTAAGATGTAAAACTTATCAGTCGCCCTGGCCAAAACAAGTAAAAAATATATTTTTTCCAATTTATTAACTTTAAAATAAAAAGTTAGCCCCATATGTTCTAGATAATTTAATTACGAATATTTTAATAGAATATTATGTATTAAGTTTGATAAACGCCATTAAATGAGTATATAGAAAAGTTTATAAACAAGTTGTATACTATAGCATCTATACAACAATAGAGTAACCATTTATATATATAGTTGGTTACTCTATTGTTATAACAATAGAGTAACCAACTTGGGAATCTGCACGTTTTTCACAGTGAAGGTTAAGAAAATGTTTTGGCACTCCACGGTGGAATCCACCCGAAAGTTAAATCTAGTTTACTAGTTAATAGTAGCAGCTGCCGGCGAAATTAAAAAGCCACTACAATATAAACTTTTCAAATATTGGCTATTGGCCAACTATTTAATACTTTTGTATTTTTATTGAGATAATAAAATAATTTTTACATTTAGTGTAATTTTACAAGGGCACTTCATTTAAATGATTGTATGACATTTGACAACTGTCAACTAAATTAAAACCGACTTCCACCCGTGACTAAAACGACATAAAGCCACAACTTGTCAATGTGTATTTAAAAGGTCATTAGCCATGGAAACATATACGATAATGGGCGTTTTAAAGGTGGGCGTGAAAAAACATATTCAAGTTAATAATAGATGAGATTTAGATTTATACGGTCAATTTTTAAATCAATGTAATTTTTCACAATATAACATATTTTTTAAGTTTTTGACATTTTTTAAAAATTAATTTTAATTTTTTAATATTTTTTGCTGCTAACTTACACGTATTGCATACCTACTAAAATTATATCTATAGATATACACGTTCATTTCAACTATTGTTGAGTGATTAATGCTTGTATTAATTTCAGATTTTATTAATATATTTTGTTTAAAATATACTTTTGAAATACTTTAATTTGATTTAACTCATAACTGCTACCGAAAATTATTTTTCACACAACTGCTGCCGTCAAGATAACCCATAACTGCCTAATTTTAATTTTTTTTATAAAATTATAGGTATTTTTTACATTTGTGAAGTTTTGCCCCCATTTTAGTAAGACCCTGTTCAGTGGCGAATTTAAGGAAAAGGGCTCAGTAAGGAAACGCTTTATATGGGCTCTTACAAAAATATTGCGAAAAAGACGTTTTTTACTGCGATTTAAACCAATCGGGTAGCTTATTTCAAAATTATCATAGTCGCCCCTGGTATACTAAATAAAATCCAACATGTGTCACTTCCTTTCAATTTAATTATTTCTCCTTTATTTTTGTAATAAAATATATTTAATAGAAGTAGTAAATAGTATATTATTATACGAGAGATAATGCAGGCTATTATTCACAAGGATGAGGTTTGCGTCTTGAGTCGCCAGACGAGAGCCTTAAATCATCCGAGTAAATAATACGCATAATCTCGAGTGTAATACTATACTCCAATAAGTAGATTTTTAAAAATAAATAAATAAAATCTGACATATGCCAAGTTCCTAACCTCACTTTTTACCAATTTTAATGTTGTTATAGTCGCCTTCTCCCAATTTTAAAACCGATTGGTTCAAATCAAAGTGAATATTGAAATCGACCAATCACTGATGCCTAACAATGTGAATAATAAGATTATTATTCACGTTGTTAGGCAGGGAATTTATAATGTTTTTCATTATTTACTAAAAAATCCAAATATTATGCAATAGGAGTACACATAGTATTGCACTCGCATTAATTCTCGTATAATAATATACCTACTATTTTTTTGAATTTCCTTTTTAACAATTGCAAGTGGGCCCTGGACCCTGAGAGCACATTCGGTATGTTTCTAAATAATCAAATATGCAGTGTTTTATTCAATATGATGCCATTTATAATTAAATTATGAATGAAATTGTTTACAGTTGGGTTTAGTTTTAGTTTTAACGTTATGATTAAGCTCTTTCTTTGTCTAAAGTTATTCCATCTACATTCTGCGTGTGTAAGTGGGTCGGTAAGTATGACAGGTTGCCGAGTTATAGGGGCTCAAAGTGTGAACTTTTTTCATAGCCGTTAATTTTCTATTAATTTAGGTCGATTAATGATTTTTACAATATAATAATTAGTACCTATTTATGTTACCGCCAATTTAAAACAGTAGTATTTACGAATAATAAAAATTTATTAAACGCTTATAAAAAAAATTGTATATAAAACACGGCGGAGAAAGCATATTAACTGCCTCGAACAGATATGCGCACTGAGTTCGGCTATAATATAAGCGCTTTCTCTGCTTGTTAGATAACACTGTGCGACAATTTTCGGGTCATCGAAATCAAACCGCACCGGACCATTTTTTTCTGAAAATATACCTATCCAATAGCAAAACCCTCGCTGGGTTTGTAAAAGTTAGCTCGAATTTTTTTTTATGGCCGTTTGTATTTTCGAGCTTTATATACCCCAATTTAGACCTATAAATCGATTTTTTTCGCATATATTCGACTTATATCGTCAAGATTTTTTGTAGAAATGTAGATACTGCACAAATAAACCCATTTTGTGAACAACCTTTATCCCAAAAACCCAATTTTTGGGACCAAATATTCGAAAATATTTTTTTTTAATTTTTTTGATAATATTTAAATTTCTCGCTACTTCTTCTGGCAAAAATGTTGTACTAGTAGTATACTAAAAGAAGTAATTTATAAAATACGCACACAAAACTGAACTCTAAGTTTGCTTATTTGCTGGAAAATAATTTTTAAACAAGATTTTCCTAAATATTCATCTTTTCACACTCAACACCAAATATTTTGCCAAAAAATCTGTAGGAAAAAATTGAATAGATAAAATAGAATTGTAGAAAAGTACAGAGAGTTTGATTTTTTATTTTGTATTAATTTTATTATTAAAAAACTTTTTTATATCAAAACATTGAGTAATCTGATTCATTGCTGAAGAATTCCATCCCTTCCACTTCTCCTTTATTTCCTTGCTCTTCATTTTCATTTTTTAATTCATCACTGGAGAATTTCACCCCTTCCACTTCTTCTCCTTTATTTTCTTGTTCTTTATTTTCATTTTCTTCCTGATCGTAGTCAAAAATATATTTACTTCACCAAAATGTTTTGGCTAGTATGGCATCTGGAGCTCGTTTTCCTCTTTATCTGGACTCAAATGGCATCGCAGTTTGATGATTGTGTCGATAACTGTCGATTGAAGTAGTCCAAATGGCGATGAGGGAAATGAATTTTTAGCGACATATTGACTCCAATTTTGGAAAAAACATTCAACATTCGTCGCATCCTTCATAATTGGGAGAACGATGTTTGCCTAAAAGTCCAATGATGATTTCTCTCTGTCAAAGTCTTCATACTTTACCAATTTCCGAATATCAGGACCATTTAAAACGCCTGAAATGAAATGAATATAAAAAATATATGAAATGAAGGGATGGAATTCTCCAGTAATGAATCAAAAAATGAAAATGAAGAACAAGAAAATAAAGGAAAAGAAGTGGAAGGGATGGAATTCTCCAGCAATGAATCAGATTACTCAATGTTTTGATATAAAAAAGTTTTTTAATAATAAAATTAATACAAAATAAAAAATCAAACTCTGTACTTTTCTACAATTCTATTTTATCTATTCAATTTTTTCCTACAGATTTTCCAAAGATTTCGGCAAAAAATTTGGTGTTGAGTATGAAAAGATGAATATTTTGGAAAATCTTGTTTAAAAATTGTTTTCCAGGAAATAAGTAAACTTAAAGTTCAGTTTTGTGTGCGTATTTTATAAATTACTTCTTTTAGTATACTTTACAACATTTTTGCCAGAAGAAGTAGCAAGAAATTTTAAATATTATTGAAAAATTGAAAAAAAAAATAATTTTTCGAATATTTGGTCCCAAAAATTGGGTTTTGGGATATAGGTTGTTCATAAAATGGGTTTATTTGTTCAGTAACTACATTTCTACAAAAAATCTTGACGATATAATTGGAATATATGCGAAAAAAATCGATTAATAATATAATATGAAGCTAGAAAATACAAACGGCCATAAAAAAATAAATCGAGCTAACTTTTACAAACCCAGCGAGGGTTTTGCTATTGGATAGGTATATTTTCAGAAAAAAATAGTCCGGTGCGGTTTGATTTTTGGTGTTGCACAGTGTAATGCACTATTAATCTGCTCAAATCTAACCTTAAATAACATTCTTTTTACAATCATTTAAAGATAAAAACCCAGCCAATAATTTTAGTAATGCATTGTTCAAATATCTGCATGTTAAACATTTCTGACTCAAGAAAAATTCGTAACAAATATTTTAAGATAATTTAAAAATGCATACTCTTATTCATAGTTTAACTATTCGGTTTACCTGCAGGTAGCAGCTACTTCTTTGAACGATTTAATTTAAAATGTGTATAAATGTGCCTATACATACGTGTGACCTTTCGAACGTAACGTGTTTACTGGTTGGCAGCAATGGAGCCATTTGTTATGCA